TTATAATATTGCGTTCTCATTGATCAGAATTTATTCTGCCAATTTCTAATATATATTTGATAAATTGAACAATATTTTTATTATTTCATGGTCGATTAATTTTTGATCAATGTAAACACACCATAATGGCGTATGGATCCTGCTTTCAATTTTTCCTCAAAGAACTATAATATTGCGTTCTCATTGGCCAGAACTTATTCTACCAATTTCTATAAATGAACAATATTTTTATTATTTCATGACTGATTAATTTTTGATCAATGTAAACGCACCGTAATGATTTCGATTCAATACTTTTGCCATTGGTGAACAGCAAACCGTCTGACAAGTGTAAACGGGGCATAATGATCCCAATAAACTCCCTCATCCTCGGTTTCCGAGCAACTACTGTCCCCGGCTTTAATGTTTAGAACGCGCGGGGAATGTTATCATGGCCACGAGTTTATGGCGGTTTTCAATAATAAAACAACCGAGTTCCGCCGGCATGACGAAGCCTTCCATTACGGAAAATTTTATTAACGAGCCGATCCCGGAAGACAAAGCTGCTTCGACACTCTGTGCCGCAGTACGTAAATCAAACGCGATTCCTCGATCATTAAGGCTGCCTCTTCTCCAGCCTCCTCCTCCCCAGCTTCGATCATACGTGATTTTTCCAATTTAACGACACGCGATAGATTTTTAAGGATTATTATTTATTCGTGCCAAGCTTCGATATGGGCAAATAATCTGCAAGTCTTCTCTTCTTGTATTCTACATTTTTGTATTTCTTGTATTCTTGGTCCACCAAAAACACTCTAATGAGATTAGAAAAATTGATGCATTAGCTGAAGAATTGGACAATAATTAATAATTAAGAATCTTTGAAAAAGAAAAACTTACGATTCGTGGATCGATTATAACTCAACAATCATTTTTTAAATTAAATATAGTCGTTACACTATTTACACTGGACGAATAGAAAAATATTTCTATTATTTTAACACGTAAAGCAATTACAAAAGAAAAGTGTTAACATCGCGCTTTTATTTTTCACCGTAAAATAAAAAATTGTATTGAAACATTTATCCCTTGTTGGAAAAAGCAAGAGCTCGACAAAATTATTATCTCTTTCTCCGCCAATAATAAATTTTTGCTCGACTTGAAAATAGCTGGAAGATCGACCCGTGAGAAGCGAGCGAAGAGGAACCGATCGAAGCGCAATTGAAACGCGTGGAATAACATAAAATAAGGAAGACAAGCGATAATAGGCTGGAAATGAGGCAAGCCTCGTTACAGGCTGCCACGAAGATGAACACTTTCAAGCGTAGCAACACCAAGCGGAAGCCAGGTATGGCGGCGGGCAAAGCGGGCGAATACCGATCGCTCCTCGTAATTTGCAGCGATTTCTCATCGGCTCCTGGGCCCTGCAACCCGCCTCGACTAAACATCCATTTAACATCCCTCCATTCGTCATCCCTAATTATCTCTAATCCTCGAATTCTTGCAATTTCTATCGATTCGAATCCTCCTCGAATGCTGCTCGAAAAAAAAGAGCAGTATAATAATTCAATAAACAACAGGCTGTCCGTCAGCTCGAGATCATTTCGATGGCCGTTTCGATGGTCTTTGGTAGCGATGGGTACGACCTTCCTTACGATTCTCAAACAATTTTACGTTCAACGCGAATTCGCGAGATCGCAATCGAAAGTTCGAAAGGATTCTATGTATTTAAGAAACAAGATGAATTACCAATTAGAAATCCCTACATCCATAGGATAATTAATATTATCATGCATTTATTTGTACGATCACGATGTATCAAAAAAAGTAATAATTCGAAATCGATAATAGTGTTAATAATCTCGTGTCGACAATTAGTAGTAACAAGCTGTATATCGCGACAGATATTTAAAACTATTATTCGAACGATTGGTAAATGCACAAGAATCGAATTTCCTGATGTCTGATACTCGTTTACAAGTGTGAGAAATAAGAATAATGAATGAAAATAATAGACTTGCAAATGTATTTCAAGTATTCGGATAAAGGTAAAGAAAAATTATATTAACATTTAACATTTTTTCTTTTTTCTTATATATGTATCATTTCCCGCCACGATTCTTTCACGCTGATTTTACACGCTTCGCCACTGGAAATGAGAATCGATCGTTCGAGAGAGAGAGAGAGAGAGAGAGAGAGAACATTTTTCTTGGACACTTATATTTCTTCTTTCCGTTTCCACCTCTTTCTCGCGCTCCTTGCAACGATAATTACGTGTAATTAACCGGATGGTGTACCTACCCGCGGTGATACACCCGGTTTTCATGTGTACCCATTACGCTCTTATGCGTGCGATTATATTTCTTGCGCACTGACAGTGCCTGGAACGGAACCATTTCATGCCATTCGGATAGGCGGTGTTAGTCTTGTTTGGTAATAAAGAACCAGAAGAAGAAAAATCTCTCGCCACGGAGTTTTATATTTAATTTCTTTCGCCTGAATAGTTTTGCATAGTTGAACGATAAGCGGTGCTCTGTTTCTTTCTTTTGTTCGTCCCCCGGATAAATATGCAAATATTTGCTGTGCTGATTTTTAAAAAACGAAATGATAAAATGCGCAAGCAGCTTATCGCTAATATTATTTATTTGTCGATATATCATAAAAGAGTGTACCGATTATGTTAATCTGCGAGTAATGCTCGGATAATTTTTTTTCCAATTCTCACAATATTTGTCTACTTTCTTTCCTTTTTAAATTTTATTTAGTTTTGGGAAAACATACTTTTAGAATTAGAAAGAAATGATCCAATGTCGACCACAATCATCTCAAATATCCTAAAACCCCATCCCATATCCCATTCCTAATACTTTCGTATTACCAAAACACATTCTAATTTGATTAGATCAATTATCGCAAGAAATCAGATTATTTCCTTACAATTGAAATTAAAAAAAAAAAAATGTAAAAGAAATTATAACTCTTGAACATTATTCAGAAATTTTATCAACACGTTAAATCTCCTTAAATTTGTTGATCACTTAATAATCATTTAACGATAGTTTATCCATTCAAGGAGGGAATCTCGGTGTGTTTATTATTGATTAAACAGATTTCTCCTCTACTCTAAAATTTACAAACACACGCGACGATTTAATACATAACGGATATCGTGTCACGAGATGTAAATAATAACGCGTGCGTATTAGTTGCGCCACTCCTTCAACGCGAATTTCACGTGGAAAGCACGCATTCTTGCTAAATGTCCCCGGAGAAATCGAGGCGAGCATAAAATTTATCGTGGCTAATAAAATTGCGATTCAACGGTGTACGAGGGAGGGGAGAGGGCATTCCAATCAAATGTCCGGAGGAAACTTTTGTTCGGCTCGAGAGGCATAAATTTCTATCCCCTATTTACAATTACAAACACGCTCGTGAAAATAACTTATTACTTGTCGCCTATCCGCCTCACAATGGCCACGCTACGCGTATAAACATCGATATGAAGATTTATGCAGCGGCTAAGATCTCTCTCTCTCTCCCGCCTTCGGCGCGTGAAGTTTCCGAGGAAATTACACGCAACAGATACCACGAGAATTATTTTATCCGAGATGAAAAATATATATCCGCCCGTAACTACCGTTTCCACCGCCAATATTTTTTCCAAAGTTGACGCGTTACAAATTTTCCATACGTGAATCGAGCACTTTTAACTGTAACTAATTGCTTGGATCATTAAATTACAAATCGAATCGAAATTTTTTTGAACGGAGTTAGTGGAATAATTAATTCTATTGGAATTATATCGAATCGTAAGAAATATGTTTTATACGTATGTACATCGATTAATTTGTAAAAATTAAATAAAGAAATAAATTGGACAAATTATATCCGTTTTCTAGTGAAAGTTGGATTTTCAGATTGACACGAGATATAAAATGAAAGAAATTTATATGTTTGATCGACAAATATACTTCTTCTTTCTCTCAACAAGAATTTAATCAAGAATTTAATCAAGAATTTTCCCTTAACTTTTGAGAAAGTTCTGAAAGATTGTTGATGATTTAGAACAATTCCATTCCAACAAATTTCAATTATTTAACTTTTATTAAACTTTACGATTATTCAAAAATACTATACTTTCCACAACTTTTGTTTTGAATTTATTAGAAATATAGATAAACGATCAACGCGTAAAGAAAAAAAACTTTTTCACGGATTTTTTAATTAAACTATCTTCAATTAAATACATGTATTAAATTTAACTGATATTCGTGAATCGATCTTCGAAAAACGAATTCAACAATAATAATACGAGGTATCCTTGGTGATTCATCAGAAATACAAGAAGATAAATTTATTTCTATCGGTGATGGAGAATTTATTTATTTATTCATCGACAAACGTCGAAATCTCGAGATCTCGTGCGTTAACTCATCGCACCTATCCTCCTCGCCAGAGGAATTAAAATAAAATGATTATACGGATTTTGAAGGGATACGAAGTTAAGAGGAAGTTAATTTCAAAGAATTGGACCCGAGATCGTAAAGAATAAACGCGCTTATTGATGAGGCAGCGGATAACCTGGTTCCCTTGGTGTTGTTTCCATTAATCAGAATGTAAGTAGGTTTACACAGTAGGAACAAGTTTATTTATTTTTCTTCGGCTGAATATTCGTTTCGATTTTTCAGTAATTTTGTATTTTCTTCTTTATCTCTCTCGTTTATATATAATCACGAAAAATATATATCCATAAGTTGTATATTTAAATTATATTGAACTTGATTCTTCGAGAAAAAATAAAAATAGTGTGATCTCGAAACGTTATCGAATCCGTATGATAATGTACATTCCATCAGAATTTGATTAAAAATTGTCACTAGTTTCGATTAAAAATTCGAAAAAAACGTCAAATATACAAAATATATCCAATCTTGGTAAAAATTGTAATTCTTTTAAAATTCGTATTATTGATACCGAAAGGATACCGAATAAATAAATAAAACGAAAATTGCCAATTGCCAAATATTTTAATCGTCGATCAATTCCCACAAATTTCAATCCCTGTATCCATAACTACATTAATCGTCCAATTTTTACTTATTTATCCTGTTACGCACACACGTGCAGAAATCAGAAACGCGCTTATAATCAACGCGCCTTCGCGCCCCAATCCCGTTTAACAATATCCGCTCCCTTCTCCGCGATCATCATGATCGCCGCATTAGGATTGGCGGCAGGTATTTCCGGAATGACCGATCCATCGATCACCCGCAAACCGTCGACTCCGTGCACCTTCAGCCTCGAGTCGACCACGGTCCTGGTGTCGTTGGCCGGCCCCATCCTGGTCGTCCCACACGCGTGATAATACGAGACGGACACGTGTCTCACGCTGCATTCCCAATATCGCTCCGTGTCGGGCTCGAAACGTCGACATCCGGGAACGTCCAGGCGGTTGAAACGCATCCCGTGCTTCCTCAACGTGTCGGTGTCCAAAATCGCCTTCACCTTGTCCACGCTTTTCACCAACGTCCTCGTATCCTCCATCTCGACCAAGTAATTCGTGTATATCTTCACGGGCTGGCTCGGATCCGTGCCGCGCAACTCGACCACCCCTCGACCCTTCGGTTTCAACAAGGTGGAGAGAACGACGATCACGTTCGTCCTCTCGATCTCCTCCCCCATCCTCTCGACGATCTCCTCCTGCAGACCGATCGCGGCCAGGAAGACCGACAACTGAACCCCCTCGTGACGTTCGAACGGGACGAACAAAAATTGAACGTCCGGATACCCGGAATCCGGGTCGTTCACGTTCACGTTGCCGAGTAGATCGTTCCTGTACGCCCGCAACGAGCCCGTATTGTGCACCATGTACTCGTAAACCGAGTTCAACAATCGGTTTCGGGAGGGAGGGGGCGGCGAGGCGGGCGACTCGTAAGATATGTACATTCCTGTCCACGACAGGTGGTCTTGAAGATTCGTGCCAACCGGCCGATCGACCAGGACAGGTATCCCCATGTTCTCTAGGTGTTCCCTGGGCCCGATTCCCGAAAGCATCAACAATTGGGGGGTGGCGAGGCTACCCGCGGAGAGGATCACCTCCTTCCTCGCTCTCACCTCGGCGACCAGGCTTCGATCGTGCTCCGACCTAACCCGGACACCGATCGCACGCCTCCCTTCGAACAATATTCCCTCCACCGCGCTCGATTTCATCACGCTCAGATTCTTCCTCCCCTTGACGGGGGAGAGAAACGCGATCGCGGCGTTCTCACGACGACCGTTGTACACGGTGCCCATCGCCCTCCCGAACCCGACGCAACGATCACCGTTCACTTCGTCGAGAATATTGTGGCCCGCCTCCCGGAAACCGTCCATCAGGATTTTTTGCACCCCTGACGGGGAGGGCTCGAAGTGTCTGATTCTCGCCGGGCCGTTGTCCCCGCAATACTTGGTGCCGTGCTCGGATACGTACGAGGGCGAGCAATTGGTTGACTTAGTGAAGTAGGGGAGCACGCTCGCGAAGTTCCATCCCTCGTTGCCCAGATCTTCCCAATCGTTGTAGTCCTTCTCGTTCCCGATCACGTACAACATGCCGTTGGTGACCGAACTTCCGCCAAGAGCCTTGCCCTTCGCCCATTTGCACCGTTGGTGGACGCTGCCCAGGCAGGAACTGTTTTGGTATTCGGTCTTCGTGAACAGGGAATAATATACAAATAATATACAAATTTCGTATTTTTTTATCGGTCGATCCTTGGGGAGGATATTATGAATATCGTTAACTCTATGCAAAATGATTTTTCATTGGGGATTTGCAGCAGATGGTGTTAGAAATTTATTCAAATTCTGTGCTATTGAAAATATCTTTTCGTTCTATTTCACGATGTTTTTATCGATTGCTGAGATGAATAAGGATAATGCTTAAGATAGTACAAAGGGCTCATGATCTAGTGAGTTACGTTTTTCCCTAGAAATGTCTATCATGTTTATCACGTTTATCTAGCAATCTATCATTTGGAACAGGATGGTGATTGAAAATTATCCTTTAAAGAACAAAACTCCGCATCTCTGATGATCGTTCGTTTGAACAAAAGTCGTTATTTTATAGCGATTCAAATTTTTCCTAATTTTAGTAGGATTTCATCAGATTTAGAGTAAACGATTAAAAATTAGTTTTCCTTCATACGGCGATATCTCTGGAACTGGAAGTTGTATTTGGACAAATGAAAAAGAGCAAGTTTCTGACGATTGTTCATTCTTTGGAGTTATAACGATTAAAATTTTTCCTAATTTTAATAGAAGATAAATCAAACTAAAATGATATATATTTAAGTAAAAATGTGTAAGTATTTGTATTATATTTCTTGAGCAAGTTAAAAAATCGTTAAAATTTAATTCTGTTTACCAAGTAATGATAATTTTGCGGTCCGTCTATGTTATTCAAGAAAAGGGCAGGTGAAGAGGTTTCAGGTAAAGGATCCTCCCCTCTTTCGATCAACAGTACATCCCAATCCTTTACTTCCGTTAACCTGCTGGCCAGAATAGATCCTGCCGACCCAGCTCCGACAATTATAAAATCGAATTCCTTCCTCTTCGAAACGAAGATCTCTTCGGCTCGATTCGTGGGATATTTATCCGCATTTAATGCACAATAGGATGCTATTATCGTTTGTATCAACATGGTAAAAGTGGAAGCTGGCGTCGATTGCCCCGAGGCGCAAGTTGCCGCCATACACGACTCCATATCGTTCCGCATCTCGTTTGACCGGAATTAACTATAATAATTATCGAGAATATTGCATCAGTAATTTTTTCTAACATTGATCTTAAAGTATGATGTCGAACAACGATCTAAACAATTTTCCTTTGTACAATTTGAACCGTTCGTGAGATTCTTCTTCGTGAGAGATTAAATGAATTAATAAAAAAAAAAAAAAAAAGACAATTTTCACGTATTTTATCACGTACGTATTTGTGTGAAAAATTTGAAATGGAAAAAAAATTTCGAAATATACATATAAGACGCTACATAAATAAAATTTTAACGAAAAATTAATAATTCTCACCTACGTGATCGTCACACTATAACGTCTTCGTTGTCATTTATAAACTACACCTCTGAGCTTAATAATCGACCCATTAATATCCTTATATATAGGTATTGTTTACCAATAAAAAAAGATGGCAGAGAAAAAAAATATTTATATCACCACCCAATGTCCCTACTTCGCGTATAATTTTATAATTGGTCGAAACAATTGCATCTATAATCGAATCGCCTGATAAAAAAAAAAAAAAAATAGCAATAAACGAGTAATTAAAACGGAATGATAATTTTTTTAAACATTGGCGTAAAGCAGAGTGTATTAACTATTTACAAATGTATGTATTTTCACAGTTTATTAAAAATCGTATTGCTATGTCAATACGCCAGTGTACTCAGGTGGAACAAACGGAGACCTGTTTCCCCTGTTTCCCCTCTTCCATATTACTTTGCTATCTTTTCCTAGACAAATATTACATATTTACATTTACATATTAATCTAATCTCTCTAAGTTATACATTACTAATACGTGTGAAACATGTTTAAAAATAAATAAATAATGCGAGTTTTTAATATATCTATATTGCATATCGAAATATTTAAGTAAGTGAAGAATTTATCATGGACGAATAAATAATATTATTATCAATGTTATTTATTATTTTGTCCTACCGGAGAGAGATATAATAATTTTGGTAAACATAATTATCATTCAAACGAAATTATTCCCCAAATATGGGGTAAGTTAACGAAAGAACGATCACTCAACTGGTTATTCATTGATCTTATCGAAGCCAAACTCATCTGATGAATAAAATTTGACTTTTTAATATCTTTATATATTGAATTCAATTGAATCTCAAAAAATCATTTATATTCATCGACAAATTTGATTCGAAACATTTTATAATGAAATGAATGAAGCAACGAATTATTTTGATTGGTCTCCTAAAAAAAAAAAAATGTTTCAAACCATTCCAAGAACGTTTTTTCCATAAATTCATTATACATTAGAAATACTTTATAAACAACCTTGTAAATCATATTTTGCACTTTTGCGCATGCTTAATTTTATCGAGTAATAAAAATAGTTCAAACAACGTTCGTCATAAATATATCTCATTTGCACGATAATAACGAACGTATTGATATAAATATATTATTAATTCATCCAAGAAATATTACATTTACAATTTAAAACACATCGTTTCACACGTCAAGAATAAAACACGTTTCCCTTTTAAATCGATATTTTAAATAATTATTCGCGAACGAGTACTTCGTGAATAAATAAATCCAAAAGCAAAATCCAAAATCGAACATAAAATCTCGCTGGACACTTAAAACCGTGTGTAATCCATTTCATAAATAACAAAAACGCGCGCACGTAGTTTCCACGTAGTCGACGAGCTAATACGAAGTCGATGAGCTCTATCATCGAGGATCCTCGATCTCAGTCCTACGAGCGCTATATCCTTCAACTCGATCCCTCGTTGCTGGCGAGCATCTTTCATCTCGCTCCCCCTTATTTATCGCGCACCAGCACCGCGTATTTATATTTGCGAAAATATATGTGAAGTCTCTCTCTCTCTCTATCTCTCGAATGTCCCCACTCATAACGAGAAAGTCAATTTATAGGGGAGGAAGCGAGATTATCCAAGTGAGAAGTTATTCGACACTATCCAATATCCTTGAATATTTTTGCGTACCCTCGCAAATCTCGATATCCTCGGAGGACAAGCGAGTTACGATCGATCGTTTCTCACACGATGTTACGACACTTTTCCCCAGAATTCTAACCGCGATCGAGTGGAGAAAATATCATCTTTCTTCGACGTTTAACCTCGACGTGTGATTTATTCTCGAAATTCGAAGTTTTTTGGATTAAGAAAGAGAACAAGAGGATGACGGAGGATGATTGTGTTAGGACGGAAAAGAATTTGAAATATGAAGTTTTAAGAGATTCGGGTGATAAAAATAGTCTTGAAAACGCAATGAATTCTAATCTTTTTCTGTATGTACTTATTTTTGAGATATCAGAAGCGAAAACTTTTTATTATAATTTAAAGAGATCAAAATGACATCTGTGTAATAATCTCTTATTGCTCATCAAAATTGTTATCATATAATTTTCTGAACAAACAAATTTCTTTGTAATATATTCTACATACCATTACCAATAATCTCAGAAGACGATTATTTAACGAATAACTTATTCGTCGATTCCAGAAGAAAAGGAAAACGCGTACGATACATTTTAAATTATCTACAACTAAAAATTTCTTCCAACTCTTTGCGTCAAATAAATCCTCATCCGGAAACGAATTATAAACAATAGACAATAGACCATTCACGCACGTATCCACCACGAAATCCCTCGACTTATTCCACTTACTTCTCCATGAATCCATCAAAGGGGTCATCCATTTACGCCCGAAACGTCATGAAACGGGTGGAAAAAAAGGAGAGAGAGAGAGAGGGAGGGGAATGGTTACTCGGCCGTTACCGTTCCCCGTCGCGCAAATACACATTCTCCAAAGTTTATAGAGAATTCAGAAAGTGAGAGGGTCGAGGGAGCGGTAAATCACGCGGTTACACGATTGCGAGACACGCAAATTCGAGAGGAGAGAGAGAAGAGGAGGAGGAAAAGGAAAAGAGGCCGTAAGAGATGACGTTCAAGGGATTTAAGGTCGATCTCAACTGGCTGGCCAATAAGCTTATTTTCCACAGTGGTATGATGGCCACCATCATCTGAAAGGCTCAATCCTCTTCGTTGAGATCCGACTGTGGTTGTTCGCCGCTATTTCAAAACTATCTCCTCCCCCCCATTCTCGAACTAAACTCACAAAATGCCACGGGAAGAGACTATTATATCAGATCCGGTGATGTTTATCGCGCGCGTCTGCTCGAACTATATTTACACTGGATGGATGGATATAAACCGACTCGTTTGAATCTCGTGCCATCTCTCGTTAGAGATCTCATTACTTTTATGGATCCCGCCATTTGGAAATAACACGTCGAATTTTAAAAATTTGGAACCACTATTGGATCGTTGCATAGTGGATCGAATTTCTTCAGGAGAATTAATTATGCAAACACCGTCGAAAAGTTAATAAATAAACGTAGAAAATATCATTTTGTATGAGTGAAATTCAATTTTCGTTTGATGACGTTTGATGACGTTTCTTAATTTTACGTACTCGCGTTTCCAAGATTTTTCAAAATATTGTTGTTACGCGTGTCGAAGTTTCGGGAAATCTGCATCTCTCCCGCGGATACGTCCCCCAATTCAAGGGGCACGGCTCATCGGGGACAGGCGGTGGTTAAGATAAATAACAACGGTTTAAATAGACGAACGAAAGTAGCGGCGAGTACCGCGAGTACAAAGAGGCGAGTACACGCGGGCTTCAAAGAGGCCGTGCGCCCCTTTTTTGCGCTCGTTAACCGGCATTCCAGTTCCTAATTCGACGATCCGTGTCTGAAACCCAGGGCCACGATCCTCTGCGCGCCGCCATTACGGACGGCCGACACGGTTTCCAAACCGCGCGGTTTCGAAACAAACGCGGGGCGGGAAACGGTGGATTCCTTGCCCGCGACGGATTCCTTGCGAGGAGGTTAAAGGCGGCGTTTCCGATGTCCCCGCGCTTGTTACAGCTCCGTGGAATGCGCGGCAGCCTCCACCTCCTTTTCCTCCTCCTCCTTCTCCCCTGATACCGATCTTATCCTCGATCTTCCAGCCGAGATCGCGGATGGGAGAGATGAAGACGTCGTTTGGAGAGATGGTTTGAGAAGAGAATTTCTTAATATGAGATAAAGATAAGAGAAGGGTTTATGTATTGTGGAGGAGTTTAAGTTTTGGTGGAAATTTGTAAATGGATTATGGAAAAATCTCTTTGGGAGGGAATTAATTTATCAAATTTTTAGGATCTTTGGTTTTTTGTACGTGGTCTGGGTACGATTTGGAGAGATGAAGATGTTTGAAAATAAATTTTAAACAATGTCAAAAAGTATCGAAATAAACTTATTGATTAAAGATATTATATGAAATTATTATAATTAACGATTATGTAAATATATTATAAAAATTTTGAAAAAAAAGTTCTACCTCGTGAATATGATTTATACATGATGTTTATACTCAAGGAAATGCAAATAAATTTTCGAATCAACGCGTGGAAACTCGCAAGAAAAACTGGTTTCGATTCGAGAAGACGTTGATTGCGTTTAACATAGATGATAATTATACACATTTTCTCGTGTTTCAATTAATTTCGCCATTAGGTGAAATGCAAAAATTCGAAGTCTCGAATTTGTTGAGTGTTAATTAATTAAAAATATTTTTGATAGGAAAATTTGTAAATTAATCATCGGTATCGTCTCGAGTAAACACGAATGTGTTATTTTTAGACTTGGTCGCATTGTGAAATTCCTTTTCTCTTTTTTTTCTTTTTTTTTCCGGAGCAACTGGAAGTGCACGAGGTGATTTATGAGTGTTTGTACGTTGCATCGTTTAAGAGTCATTTAAATCCAGGCCGGAGGGTTAATGAAACGCGGGACTTATGAAAATTTGTGAAATATTGCCGCACCATGCAAATTGCCCCACAGTTGTGAAATGAAATTAACCGCGAAGGGTACGACTGAATCGATTTTTCATTCGGGCTCGCAATCCGCGACACGACTTATAAAAACCGCGCATAATTATTTGACCGATGTAACACTCTGTTATTTTTACTATGATTTATAAAATAATCCTTCTAAACCGTCCGTTACGGGTGGACTTCTTTCTCTCCGAGATATTGTTCCTTAAAAAAATTCTCATTCGCATCGACGAGATTATTGCACACACATAATCGACAACAACTTACCTTTCATTCACCCTCTTTCGAGGAAATATAATTTTTTACTTACCATATTTTATCTCTCATCCAATCTGAAAACTTTATTTTCTTACCTTTCGTTTCCAAATTCATTTTCGATCATTATCTTTCGAAAATTCCTTTTATGGTTAAAAAAAAAAAAAGTTTCCAACACCAATAAAAATAATTAATTTCGAAAAAATATATTACAAAAATTAA